CTTTGCTCACTGAGCCGTACGGCCGCCCCCTTCCTCCCCCTGGCCCGCCGTCGGCCCCCAGTGCAGAGCGGCTGCTCCAGCGCCCGTGAGCGCGGGGGAACCTCAAGAAGGAGCTCTTCCCGGGAGCCTGGCAGAACCCCCACCCCGAAGTCTTGGCCCCAGCGACCATCCGGCTCGCCCTTTGCAGGGAACCAGGAACTTGGGGGACCAAGCCAGTGGGGAGGGAGCGCAGGCGGGCGGGCGGGCGACCGAGAGCCCGCACCTGGTGCTGGGGGAGACCTGCATAGAGACCACCTTGGGGGCCTGTGGCTGGTATCTGGTTTTGTTCGGGTGTAAAAGTGCCCCGCGTGCTTCTCTCCTCTCGCGCCGGGGTTGTGTGTGCCTGAGTGTGACCCTGGATGCCCATAGTGATGCAGGGCCGAGGACTTCTCATTCCCGCTTTGGCTGCCTTCTCCTGCACCTGCAATAAATCCACTTCCTCTGCTAAGGATGAGTCCTCCTAGCAAGTCAGGCCCAGGAAGGGGTGCGGGGCTGGTTTCCAACCTCTTCTTCGACCCTCTGGGAAGGCTCCACCAAGGAGCAATCCTCGGCCCAAAGACTGGACGGGACTCATTGCTGGAAGGAACGTGTGTTGACTAGAAAACAAGTCCCCTAGACTTGACCTCCGGAGAAGGGAGGGCTGGGTATCCAAGGACGTTCTTTCTGCCCCGAGGGAAGACTTTCCAACGGGGAGAGGGGAGGCAGGCATATAAGTGTGTGTACGACTCCCTTCCCCAGGGAGCCCACACACACCCAAAGATTAGTCTTCCACTTGGACAAAGAAAACAAAAACCTTCCGTAGGGCCCCAGCTTTTGTCCTGGGAGAGGGGGAGATTTGCAATTAGACACTGCTTGAAAGGAGACACTCTGTTTCGCAAGTGAGCCCTGGAGCCCGGCACACGGGCATGCCTATGGTTGGCAGGGCAAGGTGCTCAGGCATGCGACCACAGGAACCCAGCAACACCCTCCGGCCCTGGCTGCCCCTCCTCCTCAGGAACCTCCGTTTCCTCTTTTCTTCCTCCCTGCGCTGTGCTCCGCCCTCTTCCAGCTCCCACAGCCCAGCAGTTGCAGTGTGCCGACCTTGTAGTCTGCTGTTCCCCAGAGTCAGAGAAAGGAAGTGACTGGACCCGGCAGAGGCAGATCAGAGTCTAGAACCCAGGTTTCTAAAATGCCCGGAGCAGGGCAAGGGCTCTCCAGTGAGATTAAAGTGGGATTAAGTGAGAGGGTGCACATAAGACGCTGTGTGAACTGTGAGTCTCACCACCCTCACCGCAGTGGTAGGCTCACTTTCGCTATTGCTGCCCTCTCCAGGAGGCGAAGGCAGAATGAAGAGGTCAGACCTCGAACTTTCTCTACTTCTTACAATTGGTAGTTAAAGCCAATGAGAGCCCTGGAGCCCCAAGGTCCAGCCAGAAGGAGCTGGGTTTGCTGCTGGCCCCTTCCTGGTCCAGGCGCTGAGACTTTCCTTATTGCCTGCACGCTGGCAATCTTCCACCTCCTCCCTCAGCCACGCTTCCGCTCTCTCTGCAGCTGCTAACTAGTCTAAGGCTCACACCTTGAGCCCCTTCTCCCTGATTTCTGTCACCCCCACACTCTCAAGGCTTCTGATTGCCTCCGTCCCCAACACCAGCCTCGAACTCCAACACCCCATTCATGTGACCAGACACAAGCGAAGTCTCTGAATCTGTGACCTTTCTGTCTCCTTGACCAAATTTCTCACTGGAGGCAAGAAGAGTTGCAATGGACACAGAGGCTGTGGAGAGGACCCCTCTCCCACACTCCAACAGCTGCTGACAGCAGCTTGACCTCACGGCTGCCAGGAAGATCTCTGGGGCTGCCTCTCGGTCATTACCCTGAAAGTTCAAAGCATCAGGGCATCACATCCCCACCCCACTTGACTCCCAACACACCCCTCTTAAAGGTCAAGAATGTATCTGAACCACTTCCTGAATCACATCCTCCCCGTGACTGGAGCCTAAATGATGGACGAATCGGGGAGTAAGAGTGATTGGGCTCCTCTGTGTCCCAGCCCAGTGCTGACCACTTCCTATGTGTTAACTCAGATCAATGGCAACCTTTGGTTGGGTTCAGGAAGGGCCATAGCCCCCAGCCATGCAAGGCTTTACTATTTCCAAACAATTCCCTTAACATTCCAGCCTCATGAGACAGGCAGAGCAGATGCATCTTTTCCCGTTTCATTCTGAAACTGAGGCCCAAAGACACATGGATAAGACCCAACAGAGCCAAGACTTGGACCCCAAGAGCCGTCTTACACAAAACCCCGTATCTTTCCACTGAGGTGAGCCCTAGGCTCTTCCTGAGAGTCCCTGACAGAAACCAGAACACTCAGCTAGGCTGGGCCAGCCCGGTCCAAGTCCCTATCATGTAGTGGATGGAGAGCCTTGAAGAGGGTGGTGACCGGGTCAGGAGGAAATGATGTAAGGACTCATGGATGGTTCCTGCCCTTGAAGAGCACCCAGTCAAGAAGGTGGAGGTCGGACACACCCAAACTAGACAGATGCAGGACAGCATTGAGGCAGGTGGACAGACTTCCAGGTCCCCAAGCTGGGACACACAGCTCTGGGCTGACAGGAAGTAGCTGATCACCTGTCACAGTGCATTTCCCTCCTTGTGCAGAGTGACTTCACACGTCCACAAGTTGCTTGGATGTTTGTGTCTTTAGGCTGTGGTCCTGCATGTAGACCACACCTCTCAGGCAGAGTGTAAGCTCTTTGGAGGCAAGGCAGTCTCTTACCATCTTTCCCTTTTGGTCTTGTCTAACACAGTGTTTTGCATATAATAAACACTCAACAAATGCTCATTTGTCAATAAATCTTTTCTCTCTCCCACATCTTAAAAGTGGGCAGTCTAGCTGGGCGGCAGTGGTGCACGCATTTAATACCAGCACACGGGAGGCAGAGCCAGGTGGATCTCTGTGAGTTCGAGGCCAGCCTGGTCTACAGAGTGAGATCCAGGACGAGACACCAAAACTACACAGAAAAACCCTGTCTCAAAAAACAAACAAATAAAGAAATAAATAAATAAATAAATAAATAAATAAATAAAAAGTGGTCAGTCTAGTCCACATGCCAGAGACAGTCCCAGGTCCCTAATGTTTCCACCCCGGCCCTCTCCTTCTAGAGGTCCCTATATTAGGAGAGATAGGAAACGAGCCTTTCTCTGAGAGATGCTAGCCCCTTTGCCACAGGCTGGGAGACACTCTTCCCAGCCCAAAAGTTCCCAGGGAGCTTCCTTTGGAGCAGGAAGTTCAGGACCTTGAGTCCACAGGACGAAGATATAATAAGAAGAATTATTACTTTCATTTTATCTTATATGTTATGTATATTTTTGCCTTCATATATGTCTGTGTACCATGTGTGTGCCTGGTGTCCACGGAAGCCGGAATAGGACCTCTCTCGGACTGGGTTACAGACTTTTGTCAGCTCCATGTGAGCTCTGGGAATCGAACTCAGGTCCTCTGGAAGAGCAGCCAGTGCTCTTAACCATGGAGTCATCTCTCCAGCCCCCAGTTCTAAAATACAGTACCTAGGAGAGCAGTGGCTGGGATGGAAACCACGGCCCCATTGTCGTCCACAAGTGCCTGAGTTCCCTCCCTTAGTCTTTAGTTCAAATTGGATCCTCGGCTCTGACACAGAAAAGAACTCCAGGGGAAGCCAGTCTGAAGCAGAGTTGGAGTTCATTAAAGAAAAATAAGAACTGCCTGAGTATATGGGCTTCTCAATGAAGAGTCCCCACGAAACGCCTAAGTAGTCGCCAAATAGAACATGTTGGCGATGCTCAAAGAGTTCCTGAGAAAGTGTTTTTCTTCAATAAATGAGATTTCAGGGTGACTCTGGAGGGGCCTCAGGTAGGATTACATTCTGATCAAATAAAACCAGAAGCCACTAGGGTTGCCCAAGGGGGCTTAGAATGTACTGTTTTACTGTAAAGGGTGTTCCTGGTGAGATTCCTAGAAAATTCCAGGTTTGAAACTGGGAAGGAGGAGGCCTGAAGCAAATGTTAATTGAGTTGGAATTGTTGACTCTGAGCTAGTCTGAGTCCCCTG